TTTTTATTTTTATTAATTTTAATTTTTTACCTACGTGACTTTACCGAAAAAACCTAAGAATATGAATCCTTGCAGTCACGAAAGCTTCAAATCTAGAATCATTCTTACGTAATTCTTGTCAGACCCCAGGGTGTAATCAGGTGTCGTTTCTAACTCGTCGTATCCTCTAACCTCTCTACTTGGCCTATGCACAAGGGCCATTGGCCGAAACGTTTATCTACGTAAAACAATGATTTGCCTTTCAGGGCCACAGTGTTATTGTCGAATGTGCCGAGGAGTTTGTTGTTGTTGTTGTTGTTCGTTTCTAAATCAGCAGTTGCGGAAGCATTCACCAATCGCATCGTTCGACCACTTCGTCCGATTCTCGAACGGAGGAGATGTTGGGCGAACGCGAGGAATGTGGAGCGCGAAGGCGAGTGAACAAGAGGGGATCAGAGCGTGCACAGGGGCCGTCCATAAATGACGTCACGCGATTTTGGACGATTTTTGACACCCCCCCCCCTCTTCGTCACACGGCGTCACAAAAAGTCAGACCCCCTCCCCCTCAAATATGACGTCACAAAGCTCTGCCCCCCCCCCCCCAAAAAAAAAACATATTTCTATTTTGAAAATAAAACATGCTTAAAATCGCTTTAAACTATTGTCATTGTAGTGCGTATTTAATGTGGCGCTGCACTCTGATGTTGTAGGAGTGTTGTTATAACAATTAGCGTTGTTGTAACAATTCTATATTTATTCAAAGTTGCGCATTTTTACGTGACGTCACATTTCTCAAACCACCCCCCCCCCCCCCACCTTGTCACACATCTTCACAAAAATCTGCCCCCCCCCCTCCTAGGTGCGTGACGTCATTTATGGACGGCCCCAACAAGGAATTCCTTACAGCGCGCGTCTGCGTGACGATGCCACGGCAGTGACTGCATGGAGGCACCTGCCGTGGACATTCGCCGTAGATGGGGGACGGCGTCAAGGTTGCGAGTTCCACTCGGTCGAGCGGGAGAGCCGCTTTACGACACGCGACTATAAAACTCGTATAGACATCCTGCGTCTGAATACTAATTAATATTATTACGATGATAACGACGATTTTTTTTTGGCTTCCCCAGGAAAGCCTCGCCGAGTCTCAACGGTCTGTTTCAGGAGCGTCCTTGTGAACCACGGCACTTTCCGAAATATATTTCATTTCCTCCAACCGTTTCCAAAAACAATTCTACTATGTTTCATTATATTTTATTACATTTGCTTCATTATATTTCATATCTTCCGATTGCCTTCAACGCATCTTCCGCCCCCTGCATCCCATCGTGCTCTGGGCGTCACGTGACAGAAACTCCGTTCGGATCTCCCACAGTGCAGCAGCGCGAGGCGACGAACCCCTTAGTGTTAAGGCAACGACCCGCGGAAGAGGATACCACAGAGCTGCTTCCGAGATCCCCTTTAACAAAAAATAAGGGAGCTCTGGTCCGCCGCAGTAAGAGGCCAGCATTTCCCCCCGCCAGCTCGGCAATAGGTGGGGTTCATGTTCGTCGCAAGGCCAACCGGAGTAAGTGCGGAACCCAATGTTACACGATTGCTGTTGTTGTTGTGTTGTCATTGGTGACGGGCCTGGCAATCAACTCGCTGCACTTGGGGAAACGTGGGCCGACTCTCACAATCGTGCGGTGTCGTCACTCGCAAGTTTACAGCGTCTCGAATTTCGATTTAAAGCTTTCGTGACTGCAGGGATTCATCTTCTTGGTTCTTTCGGTAAAGTCACGTAGAAGGGAAGTAATACAAGAATAAAAATAAAAATAAAATGTAAAATAAAACATAATAAAATTATATAATATAATAATATAATAAAATAATTATTATATTATATTATTATTTTATTATGTTTTATTTTTATTATTTTATTACTTCCCTTCTACGTGACTTTACCGAAAGAATCAAGAAGAAGCGTCTCGAATGATGTATTTTATAATAATGTCTGAACTGTTCTTGTGAAAGCGTCACTCTGAGTTTCAAGACTCTGAAGTCGATTTGTTTTTTAAGGTGGAACTCTTAGGCTTACGTTGACAGGTTTGACCGAATTCCAATGGCGATGAGAATTTTGGCTTCGCGGGAGGATGGAACGGGGGATGCCGGACAAAACTGTGAGCTTCGGCTTACTGATGAACGCGTCGAGTGCTTTGTTGCGTTTGTTGTTGACAATTTGTGATTGTGTACCGCTGCCAATGCAGCAGCAGCAGCATCGGCAGCATCGTTCGGCAGCAACAGCAGCAGCATCACCGAATCGCTTCGCTCGCTGTTTATACATTGGAGCCCAGCGTTGCAAGCCGTCTTTGGTCATTTCTCGAATCGATTGTTGCGCAGTTCATTTCCGTCGGCCGTTGTGAAGGCGGCGGGCGGGAGGGGGGTGGAATCTTTCTACTCGCCGGTGATGTTACAGACGGATCGGGGGACACGGCCAAAACGAATCGATATATCGGCCAAACTCCGCCCTTGCTGTGCGTACCTCGATCCCGGGCTGCGTTCCTGGGCTGAAGCGCGCGCATTCGCTGTGGCTGGGCCAAAGCTGGTTGGTATTCCCTGCCTACCGCTGGAAATTCGTTTATTCGATAGTGTGGACACTTTTAATAAGTCTCGTCTTAAAACCACATCTTGCCAAGTAATTTTAGTCTTCATAGCTTTTCCGTCTCTCTTGGCCTTATCCTTATTCTTACAAGGCGCCATGACAAATATTAATTCTTATTATTACTGGATCAGCTTTGGAACAGCAGCAGAAGAAAGAGAGACAGGAAGATTGAACACGTGGATCTGTGAGCCAGTGAAAGTTAAAATATATCTTCTCGATTGTTGAGAAAAGTCAGCGGGACAGAGCAAAAAAACTGGTACCACCCTAATACGGTCGTAGCTAATCTTTACGAGGTACCCAGTTCTGTATTTGGCCGACGATGAGCTAGGGACAGGCTTTTGTAACCTCACCTCATTTCCAACGCAGATAAATAGGAAGCAAGTCTTCCTCGTGCGTGGTTAGTGTGTTGTCCGTTTCACCCCCAACTCCGGCACCTCCGATTAGCGCTTTTGGTTACGTTCGGTGCGAGAGATGTTCAACAGACATGAAGGTCGAGACTGGTGATGGGGTGGAAGTCAAGGGAATGGAGCGTGGCCCCCCTAGACTCCTCGAGGATGACCGCGCAGAGGAGATGGAACGGTGGCGAGACCTTCATTCAGCAGGGGAACTATGAAGGCTGACAACGACGACGATACTAAAATAACTGGTTATCGTGATGTCCTGCATCCGCTGGAGGTGCTATGTCGGCCGCGAGGCTACAACGGAGGAACCAAATGCTTCTGTGGGAGTTCCGATCCGGATGGTGGCGTCATCATAATATCGCTAAATGGGTTGGGGGAGGGGTGCGGGAAATTACGACCGACGTTTCGCTGTCCACTCCAGGCGGTCATTCACTGGGGCAACTAGCAGACAATTTTGATTGAAAGCTTTCGTGACTGCAGGGATTCATATTCTTGGTTCTTTCTGTAAAGTCACGTAGAAGGGAAGCAATAAAATAATAATAATAAATATAAAACAAAAAAATTCTCACGACGTTTCGACTGCAACACACCTGATGATGATTGCTGCTTGTGTTGCAGTCAAAACGTCGTGAGAATTTTTTTGTTTTATATTTTTATTGTTTTATTGTTTCCCTTCTACGTCACTTTACCGAAATAACTAAGAATACCCAACAATTGTTAACAGCAATCGTCACCCGGCCAACAGTTGCTGCATCATATTCTGTTACAATAAAACAATAAATCTACAAACTCAACAATTCATCAATAACACCTTTGGCCGAAAAGTAAACACGTACATATAATCGTATAATAGGCGACGTTTCGGGAAATGGTCCTCGTTCGGTAAGCAGAGGAGATGTAAAAACAGTCGCACAAATCTGGACAAATTGCATCACTGCTGCTGCTGCTGCTCCACATCATCTTCGTGGGCAACTGGCATGGAAGCGTTCAATCAAATCGCGGAGAGAAGTCACGTGACCACCCGAGGCTCCCGCGTGCTCCGTTGGCCAATCACTGCTCACCAGACGCATAGGAAACGCCGATGCGTTTTTTACCGTACCAGGTTGTGTGGTATGTTTGTGCAACTGGTTATTTCGGTATAAAAAAAAAAAAAACTTACGAGTCGATTGACTTTTACTCCGAGCTAGTTTTTTTTTGTTTTTACAAAAAAACGGGAAATGTGTCGGACCGCGATTTTCGCGTGGGTTTGTACAGTTTGCGTGTCCCGCTTCGTAGCCGCCCGTGATTGGACGGAAACCTGTCACGTGTGGTTTATTCTGACGCAAAACTCATTCGCCGCCTCCTCCTAAGTGCATCGTTCGTTCGATAATTATTTTCTTCGACAATCGCAACGTTGTGTTGTTTATCCGTCTTGTCACTTGTTACCGTGCAATTTCTAGTCGACCATACGGTGTCGCCGAGATGTGGCAGTGCCGAGTGTCAACACTCCTCGTGCTACACAGCCCACCCAGTGCCGGATTATCCTCGTAGCACAAGTAGCTAGCTACAACACGTGTTGTAGCTACTACACGTGATGTAGCTACTACACGTGATGTGGCTACTACACGTGTCGTAGCTACTACACGTGATGTAGCTACTACACGTGTCGTAGCTACTACACGTGTCGTAGCTACTACACGTGTCGTAGCTACTACACGTGTCGTAGCTACTACACGTGTCGTAGCTACTACACGTGTCGTAGCTACTACACGTGTCGTAGCTACTACACGTGTCGTAGCTACTACACGTGTCGTAGCTACTACACGTGTCGTAGCTACTACACGTGTCGTAGCTACTACACGTGTCGTAGCTACTACACGTGTCGTAGCTACTACACGTGTCGTAGATTCTACACGTGTCGTAGCTACTACACGTGTCGTAGCTACTACACGTGTCGTAGCTACATATGCACTTTCAAGGGCCCCGTGCTAAATGCTTTCAAGATATCAATTTCGGTTCAGTGATTCTGCACTTGTTCTATTACTATAGCACTACTAGCTTTTTTGCCCGTCCAAGGACGGGTGTATGTTGCAGTAAATCTGAAATATTCAATAGAAAAATTGTTCAGCTCATGATTATTAATGAGGGGAGGGGGGGGCCCCATGTGGAGTGACGTCACCCGCTCATGGTTATTGGGGAGGGGTGCAGCATGTGGAGTGACGTCACCCCCTCATGATTATTAATGAGGGGAGGGGTGCGGCATGTGGAGTGCACGACCTTCTTGTGCGTTTGTGGAAATTTCCACGTGGACATGAATATTAATGAAGGGGGGGGGCTCTTTTGCAGTGACGTCACGCACGGATGTAGCATTGTGCTGCGTATATTTATTTTTTACCGTCACTTTCTGTAAAGAAACGCCATATTTGAAGCGACTTTGCGTAATAAATTATTTAATTCAGCTCGACCTTCCTCTGCGTTAGTGTAAAAATCCACCCGCTCATGAATATTAATGAGGGGGGTGGCCCTCGTGTGGAGTGACGTCACACGGTGGGGTGTGCCTCATGTGGAGTGACGTCACGCGCGGGACGGACAGACATTTCTGGGCGATTATAGTAGGCAATACCGCCTTCAACTTTTATGAACGACTGGGTGTTTAAGATTAACGATTTGTCGTATTATTTGGCTGTATAGCAAATGAAAAAAATTACTGTGCAAGTTAAACTGTATGCGTTTTAATATTTGCGTGTTTTTTTTTGTAGGGCCCCTTTCTAACGTCCGCTACAGGCCCCGCACTAGCTTAATCCGGCACTGAGCGCGGCGCTGGGTTTTCTCAGGGCTTCTCCCCCCGTCCTCCTCCACTCGCACGAAGCCAAAATCCTCATCAGCAATGCAAATTGCCCCAATCGGCCCAACGTAGCGGGGGGTACCCACCCCCTCTCTCTCTCTGCTGCCAATACGTCGAGACCTCGGCGAGGAACAAAAAACAAAGTGACCTCATTGTTCAACGTAACAACAACAACAGCAGCAACAACAACAACAAACAACATATTTGGCGACACTTGCTTTGCAAGTGATGTACAATCACTTTTAACATTCAATACATTCAATGCAAGCTCACCTATAACTTACAGGACCCTTGGTCAACCTTCTAGCTTGGATGAAGACCCCCACTTCCCCACCCCCCTAGGGAGCCTGGGTAATTCCCTGCCGCGAGACGCGTCCGTCACGTGTTCGAACACAACGAGCAAATTGGGGGAAACCCAAAACATCCTTCGGGCCGCGTCGCCCCGGTCGGCCGACGACTGCCCCCGTGGCTGCCCCTGGCACGGTGCCCATCATCGCGAACCTTCCCACTCGCCCGCACACCCGTGTCGACCGATCTCGTCCACCGAGCCACGGATCTAGCAACGTTTGCCTCCCCGGGAGCAATGGATCCTCATCCTCCTTCTCCTGCCGCTGCCGCTGGCTCCTCCTGGCTCCTCAGCTGCTCAAGCGCGGCCAGGCGAGAGGATGGAATGCGTCTTCGCTCAGCAGCAGACGGGCGAGTGTGTGGAGGAGTCGCGGGTACCAGTGAATTCCTTCTGCTTCCGCTCCCCGTGCGCTCTTGCTGCTGCTGCTGCCGCTGCTGCTATTGCCGCTGCCACCGCCGCCGTCGCCGCGCGGTTGTATCCCGAGGCCCCGCATGAGCTGGTGGCCCGTGCGGAGCGGCGCGAACGCGACGTGAGCCAGGCCGTGCATCTCGACGGCCGCGTAGCACGACACCAGCAGCCCGTCGACGACCGCCGTGCCGTGGTGCGTGAGCGGCGCGTACGACCCCAGCGCCTCCACCCAGCTCACGCGCGCCACGCGCACCGCGCGCAGCCGTGGCGCTCCGTCAGCGGCGCCGGCATCAGCAGCAGCGGCAGCGGCTGAACCCGCAGCAGTAACAGCAGCACGAGCGTTAACGCCATCATTGGAACAGGCAGCAACACTCGCAGTTGAATTAGCAGCTGAACCGGTAGCGCTAGCAGCGCCAGCGGCAGCGAAACTAGCAACGGAACAAACAGCACTAGCAGGAGCAGCACTACCAGCGGAAGCGTTAGCAGCAGCTGAACCAGCAGCACGACCAGCACGAGCAGCAGCGCAATGAGAAATATAACGACAGCCACCACCACTTCTATTGCCATCATCACCACTTTCGGCAACGATACTACAACTACCACCACTAATTGCGTCACCCCCATTGCCACGACCATCACAACCACCAAGACTAGCGGCACCACCAACACCACCACTCTTGCAATCACCACGAGCGGCATCGCCACCGGTACCAACACCACCACGTCCAAAATAAAGGCTATCACCATCGCCAACAACAACACCACTAACACCACCAGCACCACCACTAACACCACCAGCACCACCACTAACGCTACCACCAACAACACCAGGAACATCAACACCAACAACGCCAGGAATATCAATGCCGCCACCACCAACAACACCGCCACCATCAGCACCACCATCAGCAGCAGCATCAGCATCAGCAGGAGCACCCGCCAGCTCAAAGACGAACATGCCGGGCCGCACGCGGCTGGCAAAGATGGCCACGGCGCGCTCCTCCGGGGGCCCACCGCTGCCACCATCGCCGCCGCCACCGCCGGAGTCTCTGGGCGCGGCGAACACGAGGTGCGAGGGGGTGACGAGGAGGCGACCGCCGCCCTCCGTCTCCAGGGCGATGAAGCGGCGCCGCTGGCGGGGCTCGCGGTCGAGGAAGAGGAGGAGGTCGCTGTAGGCGGGCGGCGAGGTGGGCCCGCTCGCCGCCAGCACGCGCTCGCCGGCCCGCAGGTCGCGAAGCCTCTTGGAGCCGCCGCCCTCCACGAAGAGGCGCGCGTCGCCGTGGAAGCAGCCCCCGCTCTTGGCCGCGATGGAGTTCTCTGCACGGGTGGGATGGAGGTAGAGATGCGGGGGGTGGGGGTGGAGAAAGATGGAGAGAGAACGGTAGAGAATGAGAGCGATTGAGAGGTAGAAAGATGTAGAGATTGAGATAGGTGAAGAGAGGGGATATGGACAGATGGAGAGAGAGAGAAAGATAGATTGAGATAGAGCGATGAAGAGATAGAGGGATGGAGAGAGATGGAGAGAGAGGGAATTTGGTGATGCTGCTGCTACTTCATTGGCAGCGGTCCGCAAGCACACACACCAACAACAACAACGACGACGACAACTCAACACGTTCGTCAATAACCACTCTGGTCTTGCTCGACATTATGTTTTTGTGTTTGCAGATGCGGTAGTAGATGCGTTCCCAAAACAACAACAACAAAAGGGGGGCTCCCAACACAGTTAAATCGCGTTGTATGGAGCACACAGTCACCCCCAGGCCTCACAACTTCAGCACTCTGGACAGCGCCGGTTGGGAAGAAATTGGGGGATTGTGCGGTCCCGATGTCACTCGCCAGCGATGTTAGCCACGGCCGGGGCTCGAACTCAGGTGACCGGGCGTGAGAGCGGTGCAGAGTGTCAAGAGCCGTCGCGACAGCGCTCCAAAGTGACGACGGTGACGACAGCGGCTACGGCAAGCGGAGCAAAATCGTCAGTCGCACGGAGTGTGACCGCACGCGGCGCGGAAAGTCGCCGAAGGTTAAACACTCAACAGGGAAACAGAAGCGACACTTTTTACACGAGTGGAAAAATACAGCGCGGGTTACGTTAAGGGCGCGGAAAGTAATTGTTCTATTGAAATGTTGAACGGTGGAGGGGGGTGGAGTGACAACAAACGACTTAAACGGAGATTATCCACTGCACACTTTGTGTTAATGCGAGCGAGCGGGCGTTCAGGGTTCACGCCATTTTCTGCCCTACAGAGTATTGCGACGGTGTGCATCTCGGCGCTGAGCCAGTGATGGAAATTCCACATTCATATCGCAGGGGAGGGGGTGGGGGGGAGGGGCGAGGGTGGATCGTTCAACAACCACCATTGGTGTCCGCACAACAACAAAGTTGTACTGTAGTCATTCTATCGACCAGCCGAGAATGATGATGTGCCGAGTCAGCCTCCGCAATCAGCGTGTGGACTCGAAGCCTTTCATTAGGGTGCAGCGTGTATGGAAGATTAACTACTTCTTATGCGTACAGTCCATGTACACACACGTGTGTGTGTGTGTACATGTGTGAGTGTGTGTGAGTGTGGGGAGCGGCAGTGCAGCGGTTAGCGCGCTGCGCTATGAACCCGGCGACACGAGTTCGATTCCCGCTCACGGCCAACACCAGTGACGATTATCTGAACCGGTCCCGGGCCTCCCCTAGGCCGACTCAGCCTCAAATGAGTACCTGGTGCGGTGTGTAAACATCGCCACTAGGGAGACAAAGGCGGTCGGGCGTGGTGCTGGCCACCCACCCCCTCGTGTACCGTTCCGGCCTTCATAGGTGCTCGCTAACAGCACTTGCCCCTACAGTCTGTTAAGGCTATACAGGGGATCTTTGTCTTTGTTGTGTGTGTGAGTGTCTTTGTGCAGCGCAGTGGTTAGGGCCGCTGTGGTCGTGTAGCCCGGTCATTCCAGTTCGATTCCGGCTCATGGCCAACACCGGTGACGATTATCTGAACCGGTCCAAGGCCTCCTCCTCTAGGTCGACTCAGCCTCAAATGAGTCTATCTGATGTGGTGTGTAAACATCGCCACTCGGGAGACAAAGGCGTTGGGGCGGGGTGCTGTCCACCCACGCCCTCGTGTGACATGCCGGCCTTCATAGGTGTTCGCGAACAGCACTTGCCCCTACAGCCTGCTGAAGGCTATACGGGGGATCTGTTTCTTTTGTGTTTGGCACAGCGGTTAGCGCGCTGCGCTACGAACCCAGCGAGCCGAGTTCGATTCCCGCTCACGGCTAACACCAGTTGACGATTAACCGAACCGGTTCTGAGCCTTGCCCTAGGTCGACTCAGCCTCAAATGAGTACCTGGTGCAGAGTGTGTAAACATCGCCTCTCAGGAGACAAAGGCGGCCGGCCGTAATATTGCCGTGCCTGAGAACACTTTTGCCTTTGAAGGCCTGCGACTCACATCAATGGTGAGCGTGCTTATGGAAAAATACGATATCCGAGGGAGACATGGCTTACTTATTTTGTTGTATCACTACTGAATAGGCTATCGCAGCACGTGAAGTAGGACCATTGCCCGAAACGTCGCCTACGACATACAGTATACACACACATATATATGTCACATATCGTGGAGCAATGGCCGTGGGGCCACCACGTTTGTTGTCCTTCCCCCACACCTCCAATTAGCGCGGTTGCCTACGTACGGTGCGAAAGAAGTTCGCTATCCACACGCGCACACGCACTCGTTTAATTGCAACGCCCACATACGCCACAGAAACATTGTCATTAACAAAACGCCAAAAGTAGTTTTTCTTGTTCTTCTAAACACATGTTCTTTTCTTCAATCGATTAATCGGGTTCGACATCACGAACTACGAATAACTCGATTAAAAGCTTTCGTGACTGCAGGGATTCATCTTCTTGGTTCTTTCGGTAAAGTCACGTAGAAGGGAAATAATAAAATAATACAAATTAAACATTATAAAATAATTCCAACGACGTTTCGGCCACAACGCAAGCAGCCGTCCTCAGGTGAAGAACAGGTCTGTCGGAAAGACAGCGTGTTAATGAACACCGCCAGGCTTGGCAGCGTATATTTAAGCTGGGTTGGAGGGGGAAGAGCGCCTTGACAAAGGAATTTACATATCAAGAGGAATTTAGCATATTTATGGGAAATGCAGATATTGGATTAGTCACTACTTGTGGAATGCGAATAACTCGTCGCTCGCAACGCGCTCACCGGCCTTGACGGAGCAGTGCACGTGCGACTTGGACTCGTAGTAGACCCAGTCGAAGCCCGCCTCGGCGGCGAGTCGCGCCAGCATGCCGTACTTGGCACGGTCGCGATCCGACGTGGTGATGTCGAGGGCTCGCCCCTCGTAGTGGAGCGACTCGTCCGAGTGGTGGCCGTCCTCGTCCCAGCCCTCGGTCACGCGCAGCTTCACGCCGGGCCACGCGTTCATCACGGAGATGGCGAGCGAGTTGAGGCGGTCCTTGCAGCGCTGCGCACGAGCGAGCGAGCGGAGAGAGAGAGGAAGAGAGAGTTGAGACGGGGGAGAGACGGGGTAGACTTTTGACTTTTTAAACGACTTTTATTGCAGCCAGCAGCAACAGCACTGGAGGCGATTCCGATATGAAAGACACAAAGTCACCAGCAAACAAATGAAAATAAACGCTACAAATGCACGCGCTGTGGCGCTACAAGCACCGCGCACAACACGAAAGAAAAGTCACGTGGTAGTGGTGGTGGTGGTTGTGGTGGTGGTGGTTGTGGTGGTGGTGGTCATCGCGCACGCTACGGTGACGAGCGAGCGCTTCAGAAGGTGAACACTACGAGGGTGCCGTCCACGCTGGTACAGAGAGGGGCTTGTCCGGCTCCCAAGCGTATGGACCGGAGTTCAGAGAGAGAGGTGGAGGAAGGAGGGTGTGTGGCAGAGGTCGCAAACGGATTTTGATTCCTTACCCGTACCCGTACCCGGCCGCACCAGGGTCGCAAATGGGTACCCGTACCCGGCCGGCCGGGTACGGGTACCCGTACGCTACCCGTACCCTACCCGAAATGAGTGACAAACGGTTGCTCACCAGTGACTCACGGCCTACCCGTACCTGTACCCGGCCGCACCAGGGTCGCAAACGGGTACCCGTACCCGTACCTGGCCGGGTACGGGTAGCCGGGTATCGGGTAGGGTACGGGTATCGGGTACCCGTTTGCGACCTCTGGTGTGTGGGTGGCGTAGATGGAGAGAGTAGAGAGAGAAAGAGGCAGAGTGAGAGAGAAACAAGGAGTTGGGGAGAGAAATACGAAGGGGGGTGGGAGGTAGACGTAGAGAGAAAGACAGATGGAGCGAGAGAGGAAGGAAAGGGTACAGTGGAGGGGAGACACGGAGAGACACGGGGAGACAGGAAATTGCGAGAGAGAAGAGAGATGACAGTAGGGGAAATAATGGGATATGGAGGGGGCGAAATTACGAGACAAAGCGGCAGAGATGGAGCGGGCGGGAGATGGAGAGATACGGGGGAAGATGAGGGGTTATGCACGGGGAGAACAAGGGGAGAGAAGATGAGAGAAAGGGGCAGAGATAGATACGATGAGAGGGAGAAATGGAGAGAGAATGAGAATAGGGAGAGAGGGGGGAGCGATACACGGAGAGACGGCGAGAGGGTAACTACAGGGAGGAGGGGGAGGAGGGGGGAAGAGTGAGAAATATGGAGACCAACACGGAGAGACGGAAAGAGACACGGGGCTGCGTGCAGAACGAGAGAGAGAGCGAGAGAGTGAGCGAGAGAGTGAGCGGGGGTTACATAAAGCAAAGATTTTTTTAAAAATACGAAATGATGAACGAAGCAAAGTGCCGACTACACCAAGCATCTTCTTGTTTCTACTGATCGTAAAAAAAGAGAGAGTGAGCGAGAGAGTGAGCGGGGGTTACATAAAGCAAAGATAAAAAAAAATACGAAATGATGAACGAAGCAAAGTGCCGACTACACCGAGCATCTTCTTGTTTCCACTGATCGTAAAAAAGGGAGACACGGGAACACACAGGCGGGAGAGACGGAGAAATACAAGGGTGGGGGGGAGCGAGAGCGACATGGAGTAGGAAGAGAGGGGGTAGAGAGAGGGGGCAGAGAGGGGGGGTAGAGAGAGAGGGGGGCAGAGAGGGGGGCAGAGAGGGGGGTAGAGAGAGAGAGAAGGGGTAAGGAGAGCAGAGCGAGAAATCTTTCGTGAAATCTTTCATTTACATAAAGCAAAGCATTAAAAAAAAACGAAATGATGAACGAAGAAAAGTGCCGACAACACAGAGCATCTTCTTGTTTCCTCTGACCGTGAAAAAAAAGAGAGACAAAGCATAGGGGAGGATAGACACGGCGAGACACGGGGAGATCAGAGGAGAGACGGGGAGAGAGAGAGGAGACAGAGACGCGGGGAGAGAAACAGAGACACGGAGACCATGAAAGACACACGGAGACACGGTGAGACACGGTGAGACAGGGGTAGACGGAAAGACAGAGACGGAGATTAGGAAGTTGAGACACACAACAGACATGCTGAGTTCACGTGTGCGCGTGTGTGTGTGTTAATTCATCAGCAGCCATATTTATGCACTGCTGGATTTATGATTAATGTATTAACGTCACCACCACCACAGCTGATGATGTTACGTAATACACGATCCAAATATACGCGACTTCTAATCCCCCCCGCCTCGCCCCCCCCCCATCCGTCCCGGCATTGTATTTCAATCGTTGCTATCGGCATCGCGTGACGAGAGATGAGGATGATCATTTCCATTCGAGACGCATTTTCAAGCGAGCAGTGCATCACCCTGCGCGAGAGAGCGCACCCCCAGATAGATTCACGGAAAATGGAGCCGACTGGCATGGCCATTATGAATATTAATCTACTGACATGGTCATTACCAACCTACTGAGCCACTCTGCTCGTGATTTTTTTTTTATGAATCAGGAAGCTACCGAGGCTGTGGGTTGGGAAGGCCAGACTGGATACATGCGAAAACAGCGTGCGTGGCGACGCGGTCGAAATCGTCATGAAACCGGTGGAGACGATGCCAGCTTGACATTCAGCACACAGCGGTTGCTCAGCTCTCCAAGGAGGGATGAGCGAGACGGGGGGGGGGGGGGGGGGACGACTCAGAGTCGCGAGGAGCCTCCACAGTCGAGACGAGAGAGAGCCACGCGTGGAGCGGGCACCGACCACTCTGCCCAAGCTCGTTATAGCCATCACTAAATATTATATCATCACTAAATATCATAGGAGTAACATCACTAAATATCATATCATCATTAGGAGTAATATCACTAATTATCATATTATCATTAGGAGTATCATCACTAATGATCATATCATCATTAGAAGTATCATCACTGATGATCATATCATCATTAGAAGTATCATCACTGATGATCATATTATCATTAGGAGTATCGTCTCTAATGAGCATTTCATCACTTTTTGGTTCTTTCGGTAAAGTCACGTAGGTATAAAATAAAATAAATGATTAAATGTTAATTATTTAAATATTTATTTCGGTAAAGTCACGTAGGTATAAAATAAAAATATTTATTTATTTACTTTATTTTCTACCTACGTGACTTTACCGAAAGAACCAAAGAGTATGGATCCCTTTAGTCACGAAAACTTCAAATCTAGATTGATCATATCATCATTAATAGTATCATCACGAATGATCATATCATATTCATTTAGGAGTATCATTACCAGCGCCACCATCAGCAGCACTATCATCATCAGCACCATCATCATCTCCACCACCACTATCATCATCACCGGTGGAAGCGTGCGGACATCAATCATCACGAGCATCACCACCAACAACACTAAACCATCGTCTTATTTATATTTATAGAGCGCCTTTGATAAAGGCGCTTCAAATAATAATAATTAATTAAACAGGCATAATCAAGAGGGATTTAGATGGCAGCAGCAGCATCGTGACCACAATTATCACCACCAAAGACAAAGATCCCCCGTATAGCCTACAGCAGACTGTTGGGGCAAGTGCTGCTAGCGAGCACCTATGAAGGCCGGCACGGCACACGAGGCCCACTGCGTGTGATCAACACCAAGTGCGGCCGCCTTTGTCTTCCCAGTGGCAATGATTTTTTACACACTGCACCAGGTACTCATTTGAGGCCCAGGACCGGTCCAAATAATCGTCACCACCGGTGTTGGCCGTGAGCGGGAATCGAACGCGGCTCGCCAGGTTCGTTGCGCAGCGCCCTAACCGCTGCACTACCACTCCCCACACTATTAACACATTCCTGCGGAGGGAGCTGGTAGGAACGTTGGGTTGATCGGTCAATGGCCAGGGTCAACGGCGGCGTGGTGTATTCCGCAAATATGGCCGACTGTGAGGGCGGGCACAAGCCGGCGTGAGTAGGTTAAACGTTGAGTTTTATAAGGGCACCACGGGGTGACCAGCCCCTCCCCACCCAGCCCCACCCCACCCAGCCCCACCCAGCCCACCATCCCCACCCAGTCACTCCCCACCCTCCCCACCCAGCCCCTCCCCACCCTCCCCTCCCCACCCAGCCCGTCCCTGCACGACGGACACAATAATCCCCTGTGGGCTGGTGTAACCAGGAGGTTCCTACCAGTATCACTCCATTGTCACCACCACCACGACTACCACCACTCAAAGCTACTTATAGATCGAAGGGGTGAGTGGGTGCATGGGTGGTGGTGGTGGCGGGGGTTAGACGGGGGAGGGGGGGGTGCGATAGAACGAAGCCAAGGCCAGCGAGTGGCACTTTCCCCGAATATAAATATTTCCTAAGTAAATAATTAGAGAGACGACGACGACAAGGAGGAGTAGGCAGAGGGAGGAGGAGGAGGAGTGTATATTTGCTCCGCAGCTGTCATCTCCTCCTCTGCGCCCGGCGTCTTCGTGACTCGTCCACCTTCCCCCCCGCCCCCCCGTCATCGCCCCCCCTCCCTCCCCCCTCACTCTTCTCGCGTTTGCTAACTTTAGGTAGCGGATTTTCTCACTCCTCGGGGTCCGAATAAAACTCAAAGATCCACCAGGCACGGGGTGGTGTAGGGTGTGGGGGGTGGGTAGAGCTGAAATCGCGCGATGACAAATCAGACGGTGATCATCTTCACGTTTGCAGACCTGGGCCCGTGGTAGAAATTCCACATTACTATGGCTGGGGGCGAGAACCCACCCGCCCCCCGTCTCTCAATCGCTCTCTCCATCTTTCTCTACCTCTCAATCTCTTTCGATCGCTCTCTTCACCGTGGCGTGCGCGATGACAACCACCACCACCACGTGACAATTCTTTCGTGTTGTGCGCGCTGCATTTTGCGCCACAGCGCGTCGATTTAAAGCGTTTGTTATATTTGTTTGCTGGTGACTTTGTGTATTTCATATCGAAATCGCCTCCAGTGCTGTTGCTTCTGGCGACAATGAAAGTTGTTTGAAAGTCAAAGTCTCTTCCCCCGCCCCCACCTCCACCCCCATAG